ACATTCTCTTACTTTATTTATTACCTCTCATTATACATAACCAGACTGAAAAATCACTCCAAGAAACTGTTCCAAATATATTACTATACTATTATTCCAAATTGTTCCTCATGGTTTCCTTTGGGGAAAATCAGATTGGCAATCTACATGAAAATTAAAGTCACCTATGATTTGTGCATTGCCCTTCATACATGGCTCATTATCTCCTGATATAGTTTTTTGTCCTACACCACAGCTGTTGGGGCCACAGTTCATGTAGATAGTGGATTGAAATACAAAATCCTGAGAAGTCTTAATAAGGTAAATGTGGAAGGGGTGTTTAGTCTTGTGGAAGAATCTAGAGGTCATTGTTTCAAAATAAATTATGACTCACTTAAGACAGATAAGAAGACTTTTTTTAAAAAATCACGTAGGGTTGAGAGTCTTTATAACTTTCGTCCTCAAAATACAGTGTCTTGAATATTTTTAGGGGGTAAGTAAATCAATTCTTGCTAAGCAAATATATCAGGGTAGGCAGGAATATGGAAAAATCATAATATCATATTAAATCATATTTAAATGATGGAGCTCAAGGGACAAGTGGCCTACTTCTGTTCCTAATCTATACGTTTGTATGACAGGACATGTGGAGGCAAGTGAGTTATTCACAATACAGCACCCAGTCCCACCTGCTATGGTATTAATATAGCTGGTCCAATTCAGTTTCTGTTCAGTTGTATCCTCAGTACATTGATGGTGGGCGGTCCAGCATTAGTAATGCCATTGATTGTCCATGATTGATTAGATTCCCTCTTATTAGACATGGTCATTGCCTGGTAGTCGTGCAGTATAGTATTTTCCACGTGACAGCCCGAATCTGAATGCTATCCAAATGCATTTATGTATGTGCAATGATCAGTAAACATTCCCAGTTCTGATCTTATGATAGATGTAAGGTCATTTATGAAGCAGCTGAAGGTGATTGAGCCTAAGACACCACAATGAGGATATACGAACAAAAGAGTAGATCAATCACCCGTTCAAGCCCACTTTGCCATACAATAAGATCATGGCTGATTTGATTTTAATTCTAACTCTACGTTCTTGCAGACCCTCAATAATCTTTCATCCTCTTGGTAATCAATAAATTTAAGGTGCTCTCGTGGCACAGTGGTAGTGTCCTACTTGCATGTGCAACAACGTCCTGGGGCTGTGGTGATTGGCCTCCAATTAGAGTCATTGTCGTAAAATCAGAGTCATTCAGCATGAAAACAGACCCTTCAGTCCATGCCGACCGTAATCCCAAATGAAACTAGTCGCACCTGCCTGCGAGTTGGCCCATAACCCTCCAAACATTTCTTATTCATGCACTTATCCAAATGTCGTTCAAACATTGTAACTGTACCGGCATCTATCATTTCCTCTCGAAGTTCATTCCACACAATCCACTGTGTAAAAACGTTGCCCTTACTTCTTTTTTTAAATCTTTCTCCAATCACCTGAAAAATACACTCCTGAGACTTGAAAGCACCCCAGCCTAGAGAAAAAACACCTTCCATTCACCTTATCTATAACCCTCATGATTTTATAAGGTCAGCCCTCAACCTCCTACACTCCAGTCAATAAAGTCCCAACCTACGCAGCCTCTTCTTATAACTCAAATCCTCCAATCCCAGCAACATCCTGGTAAATAAAAACCAAAAGAAGAAGTGCAGATGCTGTAAATCAGAAACAAAATCAGAAATTGCTGGAAAAGACCAGCATCTGTGGAGAGAAACTAGAGTTAACGTTTTGGGTCAAGCGACCCTCCCTCCAAACATCCTAGTAAATCTTCTTTGAACCCTCTGCAGTTTAATATCCTTCCAATAACAGGATGACCAGAACTGCACACAAATCTCCAGATAAGGCCTCACCAACATCCTGTACAACCTCAACATGACATCTCAAAATGTCTGGGCAATGAAAGCAAGCGTGCTAAACACCTTCTTAACCACCCTGTCTACATGGGATGCAAACTTCAATGAATCATGTCCCTGAACCCCTAGGTCTCTGTTGTGCAGCACTACCCAAGGCACAATTTTTATTTGTACAGGTCCTGCCTTGTTTGTTTCATCAAAATTCAAAACCTTGCCTTTATCCAAATTGAACTCCTCAACCCATTGAGCCAATTGATCAAGATCTCTTTGTAACCTTAGATAACCTGCTTCACTGTCCACAATACCACTAATTATGGTGTCATCTGAAAACTTACTAACACTGATTTAGATGCGAATACAGAAGGCATTCATACAAATGACAAACAAAATCTGGACCCAGTAACAGGCCTTCAGTCCAAAAAACAACCCTCCACCACCACTCTCTATCTCTTGCAGTTAAGCCGATTTTGTATCCATTTGGCAAACTCATTCTGAATCCCACATGATCTAACTTTACTGATTAGTCTACTACGCAGAACCTTGTCAAAGGCTTTAGTAAAGTCCAAATAAACAATATCTACCACTCTGCCCTCATCAATCTTCTTGGTTACATCCTCAAAAAACTTCAAGTTTATGAGATACAACTTCCCTCACACAAAACTGTACTGACGATCCTTAATCATTCCCTGCCTCTCCAAAGGAATATAAATCTTATCTCTCAGAAACATCTCACACCACTGAAGTCAGACTCACAGGTCTATAGTTTCCAAGCTTCTGCCTACATCCTTTCTTAAACAATGGCACAACATTAGCCACTTTCCAATCATCTGGCACCTCACCAGTTTTAGATGATATAAATATTTCTGCACGGAGCATCATAATTGCCTCCCTACCTTCCCACAATGCACTGGGATACACTAGATTAGGTTCTGAAAATTTATCCACCTTTAAATTTTCTTAGACCTCTAATACTACTTCAACTGTCATGTGAATCATTTTCAAAACATCAATATTTATTTCCTGAGTTCTCTAGCCTCCATTTCTGTCTCCAGTTAAAAATGACGTCAAATATTCAGTTACTATCTCTCCCACCTCCGGAGGTTCAACACAAAGACAACCTCTTTCGTCTTTAAGCATTACCACACATATCTTCCATTGTGCAAGATGTGACTTCAATAAATGGAGCTTGCCCCAGTTTTTATTGACTTCAATTTTACTGAAGACATTTTATTTCATTGCCAGCAAAACTATACGTGATGTTGAGGGTAATCTGGAATTCAGCTCTTTCATCCATGCTTAAACTAAAGCTACAATGAGATCTGGAGCTGAATGGACCCAGCAGTATGCAAGGTGAGCACAGAATAGCAGACTATTGCTGAATGCATGATACTTGATCTAACTGTCAGCAATACTTTCCAACATTTTGCTAATTATTGACTGGGCTGATGGGGAGATAATTGGTCAGATTGCATTTGTCCTTTTTTGTCGACAAGATATACCAAGGCAATTTTCCACATTGTCAAGTTGTCTGTGTTGTAGCTGTACTGGTAAACAGCTAGGCCAAGAGTGTGGTTAACTTGAAGAGTATGCCTTCAGTACTACATCCAAGATGTTTTATGTCAGGGCTAATTGCCTTTGTTGTAGATATTTTAATCAACCTCTTTAGACATGTTACAACATATGTCTGAAGCAAATGGGAATGCATTAAGCTATTTCTTGACATCATGAAATGCAAGAGACACTGCAACTAAATTGGTGCACCACAAACTTTCACAAACAGTATTCTGATAATGAACAAATAATTTGTTTTCTTTGGCTGATGGAGCAAATATTGTCCAGGATGCTGGGAATAACTCCATTTGTGCCAAGGGATCTTTTACATCCAAAACAGCAGGCGGATGGATCTTCAGTTTAAGTTCTCATCTGAAAGACCTGTACTCAAAATAAACAGGGTTGGCAGGTGAAATCACACCCAAATGCCTGGTAAAATTAATTCATGGGGGTGACCAATCAAAAGAGAGAGTTTGCAAGAGGGAAGGTGAAGAAAGAAAGGGTCCAAGTTGATTCAGAGCAGGGATGAGATTACAAAGAGGATGTGGAACAGAGGGAGGTTGTGAAATGGTGTGGAGGAGGGCGGCCTCAAGGGGTAGGGAGAAGAGGCAGGCTGAAAAGGAGAGACGATAGTTAAAACCAGTTAACAACTTACAGCCAGAAAGCCTTAAAATCATTGCGGCAATCAACACATCACAGCGGAATGTAAAATCTCTAGCTTAAGGCTACATTTGTTCAAGTGCTGCTACATGAAGAAAAACTGAATTAGTAAATTTATATCAGATATAGATACAGTGAAAAGGGCATTAACTGTCTAAAATATTCCAACTGTTTGCATTTGAGATCAGCTGGCAATCTCACCAGTCTATGGAAAGTGTCTTAATGTGATGGTGTTGCATGTGTACAAGTGCATCAGCTGTTTTGAAAATACTTTTATTGCTAACTTATGTTTGCTGTCTTGTCCTAATTTTAACCCTGTAGTGACAAAGAAATTTATGTTTTTTTATGTGTTGTGGCCTTTAATAGATGTTTGATAGTTGAGGATATTGATAAATTCTAATTCCATTTCTACACAGTCCAAATACGCTGCATGTCAACACAAATATAGAACATATCGTATTTACATGACTGAAACAAGTTAGTGAGCATGAAAAAATAGCCTCCAAGTAAAATCTCAACAGCCCTTAGAAAATAAAGATGTATTTGTGCCATGCAAAATTAGATACCTCTGACAATGCAATACACCAACAGTAACCTGGTATCACTTAACTCAGATGAAAGTGCTACCAACTCAGGCACAGACTGACATCACTGCTCAAATTTGAATTTGCTAGGGGACAGGTTCATTAACTTAATAAAAATGTTGAAATGCCATTAACTTGTATCTTAAAGTTGTCAATATAAGAAATCAAGGAAAAAGGGTGTGTTTTTGTTCCTAGACTGTGATGACCAGTTAGAATCATTGAATGAAACAGCGCAGAAAGTAGACAGTTGGATCTACATTCGTTGCTAGCTCTTTGGTAGAGCTATGCAACTTGTCCTAATCACTCTTACTCTTTCCTCATAGCTCTGTTCGACACGAAGGTGGGAACCTGAAGGCAAATTCACAGCAGAGAATGGGCAGGCAGAAACGTAATGAGTGAAATCTGAAAGACAAAGGAAGTGGAGGTTAAGAATTGTATGGCACAGAAAACTGGAGGTATGAAACGGTTTTTGAGAATGAGGGAGTAAAACCTATGAGCTAAGGGCAAGATAGACACATGGCAGCATCATATCATTACCACAACAGAAACCTGGCTAAAAGGGCAAGACTGGCAGCTCTGTATCCTTAGACATGCGGTTTTCACATAGAGAAAGGGATGAATAAATGGCAGGTACCATTATCGGTTAAATCAATCACAATTATGAGGAAGGATATTACAATATAAAATGAATGAAGCATCAGACGAGGCCAAATTACAGCAGAATACAACAGATGCTAGAAATCTGAAATTGAAACAAAATGCTGGACAAACGCAGCATCTGCGGAGAAAGAAACAAAAAATGTTTTGAATCCAAAGCCTACTGAGTTTATCCAGCATTTCCTATTTACATAATCAAATGAGGCCATATGGTTGAGATGTACATGGTAAATCACGCACGGATACGGAAGTTGTGGGCAGGGTTCTTACTTAGAACTATGTTTGTACAAAGGAGAGGGATAATAGTTAAAGAGAAAGCCTGTAAATTCTCAGATAACAGTAAACAAACTGACGACCAAAGTATTCGGAAATTGAAGGTGATTAAATCACACGGGCTAAATGAATTCTATCTTGGATTGTTAAAGGAAGCCAGGAAGGAAATGACAGATGCTCTGGGAACATTTTTGAATCTCCACTGGATGAGACAACGTATCAGAAATTTGGTATTCAAAAAGGGCACAAAATATAAGCCAAGTAATTATAGATCAGTCAGAGGACTCTCATAGCACAGTGGTTATGTCCCTATTTCTCAACCAGAAGGTCCAGGTCAAGTCTCACCTGCCCTAGTTGTATGTCATAAATGTAAGAATAGGTTGATTAAAACACAAGTAGGCCAGTCAGTCCAACTTCAGTGATGGGCAAATTACTGGAATCAATATGAACAATAGGATTAAATGTTACTTTCAGGCAGATTTATCAAGGATCATCAGCATGGTTTAAGAGGATGTCATATCTTACTAACAACTGCATTCTTTGAGGGAGTAACAAGGATTGATAAGGATAGTGTAATGGATGATGTCTACATGAAATTTAGTAAAGTAGTTGAGAAGGTCTCACATGGTAGACTGGCCAGGAAAGTAAATGCCCATGGGACACAGGGAAATCTGACAAGTTGGATCCAAAATTGCTCACTGACAGAAAACAAAGGCTAATGGTGGCTGAATGTTTTCTGGGAATGGAGATCAGTTTCCGGTGGTGCTCCACAGGGCTCAGTATAAATTCCTTGCTGTTAATAGTGTGCATTCAGTATGAGAGGCATGATTAGGAAATTTGCAGATGTCACAAAATTTGGCTGGGTAGTTAATAGGTAAGAGGATGGCTGTCAGTTATAGGATTAAATCAATGGTTCAACTGAGTGGGCAGAAAAAGAGCAAATGGAATTCAACCCAGAAAAATGCAAGTTATACATCTGGGGAGAAAAACAAAGCAATAGAATATACAAGAAATGCAAGGTATAGAAGATGAGAGACCTTGAAGTGCATGTCCACAGATTCTGAAAGGGGCAGAACAAGTAATTAAAACTGGAAAGAAGGCATCTGCGATGCTTTCCTTCATGGGGCGAGGTGCTGAATACAGCAGCAGGAACGTAATTCTGGAACTATGTAAAAACATTGGTTAGGCCACAGCTGACGTTTTGTGGAAAAGACGTATTTAGGTCAATTAGCACAAAGGTTGGAGGGGACATAAGGAAACGCTTTTTCACCGAGATGGCGGTAGGTGTCAGATTTGGAGGACATCAATCCCAAAGTTGTATATGATCCTAGAACCCAGAAGTGACAAATGTTAAACTATTGCAGCTTTGGGCAAGTTGATCCATCTGTAGCAACAAAGGATAGAAGAATTCATGACACTAATGTTTAAATTTAGTACATCTCTAGTTTTTCTTATGATTTATGTAGATAGATGTGTAAAAAAGACACTATTTTTTTCTACACCAAAAGGGCTTAAAGAAATAAAGATTGTACAGCCACACAAGCAGGAAAATGTTACTGCGGCATAACCAGGTTCTGCGATCAAGAGAGGGCAAGAAGCAAACTTCTGCTCCAGATTTCAGTATCGGCATCAAAAAGGTTTCCAAGAACCGAGGGTCCAGGAAGAATGAACTGCATCTCTGCACGGAGAGATTCATCACGAGACACCTAACATAATTTTCCTAGAGAAAAGTTATCAAACCACTTCAGTTCCTCTCATTACGTGTTCCTGCAAAACTGCCAACTAATAGTACATATTAAATTATCTACTGATAAGTGAGAAAGGTCAAAAAGACATTCACAATCAGCATAAACACTTAAGACTGGGGTGGCACAATGGTTAGCACTGCTGTCTCAACACCAGGGACTTGGGTTCAATTCCACCCTCAGGCAACTGTGCGTAGTCTGCACTTTTGCCCTGTGGCTGCGTGCGTTTCCTCCCCGGTGCCCCAGTTTCCTCCCACAGTCCAAAGATGTGCAGGTTAGGTGGATTGGCCATTCTAAATTGCACATCGTGTTCAGCAATGTGCAAACGAGGTGGATTAGCTACAAGAAATGCAGGGTGATTTTGCAGGCAGCGGGGGGGGGCGGCGGTGGCGGTCTGGGTGGGATGCTCTCCAGACAGTCAGCAAGGAGTCAATGGGCCTAATGGCCTCTTCCCACACTATGGGGATTCTATGATTTCTATGAACATGGGTCAGTTGAATCTTTAATTTTAAATCTCATTCTGATGTTAACTTCATTCAAGGAACAAAGTGTACATATTGCTCATTCTTTGGGATAAACTGGATAGTAAAGCTCTGATGGTCCCTTGACTAGAAATTAAGATGATGAAAGATTAAGCAATCATCCAGTACCCTTTATAACATTGCCTGAAAAAAAGGTCAAAATTCACTGCTACTCCAAACCACTAATAAGATTGTAAGGGAACAACTTCTGCAGAAAACATGAAAATGATTGCCTGTCCACTCCAGTTAGGGGTTGGCATAACTGGGATTCTTAGAAGTAATGTAAAACCATACGTAGTGATCTGCTTGCATCACTATTCTGAGTCTTAATTGTATGAATTTATTTTTTTTTTTAATTTTCTTGATAGCAATGATGTACTGGAACACACCAACTCACACCATAATCATATACCTAACTTGCACTTGTGGCACTTGCAATTTTAAGAAAAGCAATGTTTCCATACATTTACTTGTTAGGAATCCATTTCCCTTGGTAGTTTTAGAAAAATTGACTTAGTTACAACTGAATAAAGAGTTTGCATTTTATGGTACTTTTCATGTCTTTAAAACATTTCATAGCCACTGTTGTTGTCATTTTTGTTATATGTTGCACAGTGAGCACTGACAACCAGTCAATGAGCTACATATGTTTTTTGGTAGAGTTGGTTCTTTCAAGTAATGTACTGGTTTGTTCCTGTCCATACAAATAAGAATGGGGGTTCACTTTAATATCTCTGAAAGATGAAACCCAAAAATATCATTCCATTTGTACTACCTTTCAGTATCAGCCTGGACTATGTGCTTATGTTCATTGTGGTGGATACATTGGCCATTAAGATAAACAGAAATTAAGTACAAAAGAATTTTTTTTAAAAGCTGTAATCAAAACCATATCCAATTCAACATAGTAAGGAACAAAAATAGCTTGAATTGTGAAAGATAATTCTGAAAATAAACAATTTCAAAAGAATGGAACTTTGTTCTCCTATCTTAGGCTTTTTGTGTGCTCATTGGAAATAAAGTTGCTTTCAAATTATGAAATTAACACATACATCCCACACACACCATATTTTTAATAAACAGATTTCAACCGAATTACAGAAAAGTTCTTTCAATAAGTAATTAATACACATATTTTAACGATCAAAACCATATCAACTGTTCTTTGCCAGCAAAACATGAGTCATAAATTGAGATCTGTACACTACTTTGCAAAAGATGCTAGAAATTTGGAATTATTTTGAACTTTAGCATCAAAATTTCTCCCACACTCCCCAAATAATTTTACCATTCATTACAAAGTACCCTTTTTAAGTATTTTTATTAGCCAATTACTGATAAGTTTCTCCTTACAATTAGCAGCAAATGTTAATTTGGTCAGGAAGGTCTGGCTGGCATTAAGTACTTTTATTCGTTTAACTGTCAATACAGCAGGCTTTCTTCTGATAAAATTATGAAATGGCCTTCTTAAAAAATGAGATCACATAAACATTGGAGTTAATCCTTCAACAGTAATACAGTGCCCAAAAAAATTTGTATTTCACGCTATGCAAACTGTTTTGTTAAGACTGACATCAGTCCTCCAATACAGCAGGAACACTACGTAAGAAACAGTCGCATAAAATTCAATAATACCAAATTAAGAACATCTTCTGGAATAAAACACTATTGAATTTGTGGAATCATAAACCTTGGGAGTTAATTCAATTTATCATACCTGTGCTACCTCTTTGAAAGAGCTGTCCAGTTGGTTCCACTCCCCTACTCTTTCCAAATATCCTTATAATTTTCCTTCCGAAGTAAAGTTACTACTAAAACTAATTCAGAATGATTTCAGGTAGTGCAATTCAAGATCTTAGCTGCCACTAAAAGAAAATCTAACTTCCTTTACGTGAATCTTAAATCTACATTATTTAATCTAGCCTCCCTGAGAGGGAAAGGATTCGACATACTGACTGCAATGTCTCAGTTTTTAATGTTTCAAAACATCGCCCGTTCACCTTTTCTGCTCCAAGAAGAACAATCCCTGCACGCCGATATTTTTGGGAGAAAGCACAAATGCGACAATGCAGATGAATGATAATATTGACTATTCCAATACGATACTGCTTTGGAAAACATCGTGATCACGACTTTGCATTCCAAGTCAAAAGAATTGAAAAAAATCCTTTGGAGGGGTGGGGGGAAAATTTGTGTACATGCAAGCCACCATCATATTTATCTGTAACATAACATAATCAGCGTTCGGCAATTTGATTTTTGTGGCGTTATCGGAATGGGGTTTGACGGTTTGAAGTGGATGAATATGCAGATCCCGCAAAACTCGGTTCTACCGTAAGATTACAGCTGAGCCGACCTCAGTGCATTTCCACACTGCAACACAAAAGGTTGGCGAGTAATTGGACACTGCAGGAAAACCTCGCTTCAGTCACTACGCCATTTCTGAAACCTTCCCCTTCAAATCAAACGCCGCCATTTTATCGCAGTTTCCGGCCAGAACTAGATTTTCTTTCAAACGTCTTTGCAATCAAACCACACTTTTAAAAAGCGACATTCATGCACCGAGTTATTAACATGTCCGAAAAACGTAGAAATTTAATTTCAAAAGAAAATAAAAGCCAAAGCTCCGCCCCGTTGGTTGGGAGTTGCAGTTGGGTATTCGAAAATTTAAAAAAGGCTCTTCACAAACCGCAGCTGCGTGTTTGTTATTAATCGGGTGGAAATCAATTTTAATCCCATATATAAGTGATTCACACATGAATACCCCCAAATTTGGGGCTGACGGATAGCGTTTTATTGAAAAGATAACATATTCAGGGAGTTAAAACATTTTAGTTATACGGATCTGAAATTGAAGGGAGGTTAAGAAAATGGGTTCTGACCACAGCTTCATATCCAGCCAGTTTAAAACAACAGCCATCGCACGTCAACCCACCGCCCCCTCTTTCTACTTCTGAACAGGCAGCGGGATCTTTCCAAAAGACAAAAATACGATTTGCGGCGATTATTTTGACCGTCCCCTCCCCCCGTCCCAAAAAAGGAAAATAAACTCCCGACATTCGGCGCAAAATACTGAAAAGACCACCCGAGCTGCGAATGTTCTGTCACTTAAAAACGAAATGATAAAAAGATGTCAAAATGAATAAACTGCATCCAAGTGTCGAGTACTGTCCTGTTTTCCCTTTCTTCGTTATATCTGGTTTCGCCACGATAGGATCAACGCCCGAGTCTCCTCGGTGCCAACGCAGGACTGACGGCGGCGGCGAGACCTCGCTCTCTCGCCTTCAAAACTCCCTCTAAGTAAATTTCCCCGTGTCTCTCTCCTCACTCACTCACTCAACTCACACACACACACAGATCGACAGTCTCGGTCGTATTTTCTGTGACAAAGTCTAACCGAGGATAACGTCATGTTGTTACACTGTAGCTGATCATGTTGTCGCAAGTGGACAAACGTCAGGAGCTTACATACAAAAAATGGGCGGCTAAAGTAACAGGAGACACGGCGAGCACCGCTCCTGTCATCTCAATAGGAGGAGGGGAGAAAAGGGGGGTAAATACAAACCCACACAGGCTCACATACACATATCGACAGGTATTCAACAGAAATCTGGCGACTTGGGGGGGGGGGGACAGCTGTTGGCGCTGAAAAGATCAATTCCGCACTTTCCATCCTCTTCAAAACCAACAAGGGAAAGGGAATAAAACCGTCCCCCCAGCTACTCTTAAATCCCAGTAAAGTTGACACCAGACACTATGGGAAATTTTAAATTTTCTTTATCAAACTCGGTGATCATTGAATTCGAGCTTGAAAAACAAAACACTGCAGGGCATTTTGTCTGCAAAACTGTGCACAGATCGGTAGCGCCTTTGCCCGATCCTTGTCGTTATCTACTGCTATTTGAGGAATTTAAAAAACGCCAGTATGCAACTTGCAATTGTTTCGCTTGCAATCTGCAGTTTAAAATCGATTTCTAGTGAAAACGAACGCACCGAAACGGCAATATTCATTTGAAGCTACTACTGTAAAATCAACCTGCTCTCGCGACTAGTCTTTTATTATTCCTGGTTTCATATACAGAAAGAAACAGTAGTATGAAGGGGTAAAAACGAGTCACCCTTAAAAAACGCATTTAAAATGATGTAATTATACTCAACAGAGCCTCAATAATCGCACGACTCAGACAAAACCATTTTTTAATTAAAGGCTTCCCTCACGATTTGTCACAGTAAACATCCTGACCTCTCTCGATTTAACAGACATCGGAAACATTTTAAAGCCTGAAAATCGAGGACGAGAAACTGTTGCTGCGGGTGGTGGTGGATACGTTCCCAAATCCCCCCCTACCATCCCCTCCGAAAACGAAAGAGGGAGACCCAAAACAAGCCCTGTACCGAAGACATCCATCTGCAGACGGACTGGACTGCGAGTTCTGATCTATCTCGTCAGCCAGCATTCGCCTGCCTCTTGCCCTCCCCAAAAGAGGGAGTGAGGGGGAGAAAATGAGGAAGCAAACAGAGAGAGAGAAAACAAATGGGAGCCGAACGGTTGGCACCTTCCTCTCTCACAGACACACCATGTCCCCAGCCATTGGATTCCTTATTTTTTTCTCTCTCTCTCTCTTCCTCCCCTTTTGCATTAATGCTACGTGCATGATGTGCATGTGAAGTGTTGGTGCCACCGTCTCTCAATTGACTCCTTTCCCTCCGTCTCCTCACTTACCCCTTACGTAGTTTTACTCGTCACTGATTACGGTGCGCCAGGAGTGGATGGCTGTGCTGATACGTAGCCGCCACGTCAAAAAAATACACTGAGAGCGTCACCTCCAGTCCCCTCAAACCAGGCGAGGCCGCAGCACCCGGCTCGCGCGCACAACCCAGATCGCTGCGCAGCCGACGCGGCAACTCGACGCCCCATTGGCCAACAGTCCCAACGGACCGGCCTTCCAAACCTCGCGAGAGATCCGAGCCCCGCCGCCATTGGCTGACGCTGCCTTCTTCACGCGTTCAGGGGGCGGTGGGCGAGGAAGAACCGTTTTCTCCGCCGCGCCCGGATCTCATTTTTTCCCCCCTTCGGCTGTTTGGCTCCTCTCGCACTCCCGCTGTAAAAGAGGAAGGAAAGGGGGGGGGGGGGGTGGGGTGCGGGGGAAAGCATAAGAGAGTAGAGAAAGAGAAAAAATACAGGAATAAGGAATTTGTTGCTTTTCTTTTTATCTGCAATTCTCGTTGCATGGCTTTTGTTTTAAAAACTGAAATGGCGGTCTCAGTTTGCGGCAAGAGATGTGGCTGTAAATAAATGATTGGTGTTTTAATGAAACATTCAGTAGGGCTGTTTCTTCATTTCTTTAGGGAAAAAAGCGAAAGCTATATTGCTTTCTCCCACCATCTTCACCCCCACTCCCAAGCTGTTCCCAGAATCGCTAACCTCCATGATTCTTATTGGAACCGTTTGGGGTGTTCGCGTACGCCAGTTCGGTTAGTTTCGACCTTGAGCTGCCAGAGTTCTTGTTCAACCGATCTCGGGGTGATTTTGGAGGGGTTTTTTCCCCGTTAACCGAGCTTAGTTTAAAATGTTTAAGCCGGGAGCAGTTGACGCATTGCGGAGTGTGATCGCCTCCATGTGGTGATTGCCTGTTACTGTGGAGACTGATTCCAGAACTTGGACTTGCTTCAAAAGACTACACTGTCTTCTCGTTCAGCCCCATTGTCTCTGAAGCGAAGAAACTCGCCTTCTTTCAAAAAAAAAGTTACCATCTCTCTACGTTTTTGTGACTTGGGGAAAAAAAAGTATCTGCAAGACCTATTTAAAACGAGAATTGTTATTCACTTCTCAACTGTTAGGTCTGTTTATGAGAACTCAGATCTCACATCATCAGGTACTTAAATTATTGTTTCTATTTAGCATCAAAACCGAAAATGCCGAACACAGATTCTACCTGATCTGTTAGAAAAAGAGAAGGGGTTTTGCAGATCGATGATGAACCTTCATCCAAACTCGGACAAGGTTTTTGCTATAAGAGATAACAACGTGTAGAGCTGGATGAACACAGTAGGCCAAGCAGCATCAGAGGAGCAGGAAGGCTGACTGAAGAAGGGTCCCGACCCGAAACGTCAGTCTTCCTTCTCCTCTGATGCTGCTTGACCTGCTGTGTTCATCCAGTTCTACACCTTGTTATCTCAGATTCTCCAGCATCTGCAGTTCCTACTATCTCTGAAACAATGTTTTTGTTTTCGTATTGTTCTAACATCTTCATCTGCCCAACAGTCTTCACTCTACGAAGACTCAGTTGAGCAGAGGTCATATTGAGGAATCTATCAGTGAAACATGCTCCCATGAAATCGTTTATATTTAGAATGAAAATTACAGAATGAAGAACAAGTACCAAACTAATACAAAGGTATAATAGTGTGGGTGCTGGAAACTTCAAAATGTTGGAAACTGAGAAGTTTAGTTAAGATCTCAAGTTGATTAACTTTCATCATCCTACTTGATACTTTGTTCTGTCGTCCAAAGATGCATTGCTAAACTGATCCAGTGACTGAAACTGGCCAACTCGTGTTATATACGATGTACTGATTTTCTGTCACTATATTACAAAACACATCCAAGCCTGGTGAAAGAACATACTTTTATATTGGCAGTATACACAGCATCGATATCAAATATTTCTAGTTCAGGCATAGCAACGTCAGTGCTCAATAAACGTCACTCCAAATGGAAAACTTAGTCTGAGTTTTCTTGTGCAATGGAACCTCTAATGTTACTTGGGTTCACTATCAGAAGAGAAAGAGGGACTTGAATTAATTTAAGGCACTTCACACCCACAAGATGTCCTAGCCCATAAATCACTTTTGAAATAAAAACAAAGCACTGGAGGAACTCAATGTCTGTGGAGAAAGAAAAACAAAGTTATTGTTTCAAGTCTAATTTGACTCTTCTTTGGAACTATATATCTGAAGTATAATCACTGTTGTAGAAAATATAGCAGCTAGCTTGTATAACATAAACGTCCACAAACACAATAAGAATGTCATAAATAGGAGCCGAGTGCACCATTCAACTTCTTGAGCTTGCTACACCAGTCAATAAGATCATGGCTAATCTCATATGGCTTTCATTCTAGTTTCTTACCTGTTCTCCCATAATACTTGAATCCCTGTGGATCAAACTCCATCCAGTTCAATGTTCAATAAATTCAATGTCAGAAGATCTGCTCTTTGAAAGAGAGAATTTAAGAACTGCAGATGCTGGTGAAACTCAGCAGGTCTGACAGCATTTGTGGCAAGAAACCAGAGTTAACTTTTCAAGTCCAGTGACTCTTCATTAGACTGATAATAGCTAGAAAAATCTGGGATTTATGCTAGCTGAAGTCAGGGGTGGGAAGGGCATTGGTGGTCGTGGTGAGTGGATAGGTGGAGATGGAACCTGGAGAGAGAAAGATATGAAAGGGGTAGGTAAACAAGGAGGTAATGAATTGCAGGTCAGGACAGAAGAAAAGCTGAATAAGACATAATAAGAGTTAAGAGTGAGAAAATGGGTTAGCTGTACTGACTGCGACCCATTTAATGTGATATCTGGCCTGGGAGTACCTGGGAATGGGTGACTGCTAAAATGACCCATTTCATAATAGGATTGGGTGTGGGGTGGATATAAAAACAAGAGGGATGGAATCTGGAAGAACACAGCAGGCAGGGCAGCATCTGGAGGAAAGGAGCAGTCAGCGTTTCGGGTATTACCCTTCTTCAGGACTGGATGTGGGGATAGGGGGAGCTGCAGATAAATGGGGGGAAGGGGTGGAGGCAGAATGGTGGTGATAGGTGGGCACTGGTGGTAGGTATGATATTGTTGGTCGATTGGAGGGATGAATCCGGTTGGTGGCTGGAAGGGAGGGTCAGAAAGTGGAATGGAAGGGAGGAGGTGGGCCTGGAAAGGGGGGCAGGGGATGGGTGGCAAGGTTATTTGAAATTGGAGAACTCAGTGTTCAGTCCTCCAGGCTGTAGGGTAACCAGGCAGAGCATAAGGTTTTGTTCTTCAAATTTGTGATCCAAGTCACTGCGACACTGGAGGTGGCAGAGGACAGACAAATCAGAGGGGGAGTGGGATGGGGAGTTGAAATGAGCAGTGACCAGGAGGTTAGGTTGACCATTACGGGCCAGGCGGAGATGTTCAGTGAAATGGTCACCTTGTCTACGTTTGGTCTCACCAATGTAGAGGAGACCACATCGGGAGCACCAGATGCAGTAGACTAGGTTGGAGGAGATGCAGGTAAAGTTTTGTCTCACTTGAATGGGCTGTTTAGGGCCTTGAATGGAGGTGAGGGAGGTGGTGTATGGGCAGGTGTTGCATCTTTTACGGTTACAGGGGAAGGTACCGGGCAGGTTGGGGTGGTTAGTGGGGAGTGTGGTGCGAATTAAGGAGTGGCGAAGGGAATGGTCCTTGCAGAAGGCAGAGAGGGGTGAGGAGTGGAAGACGTTCCGCGTAGTGGGGTCTAATTGGAGTTGGCGGAAGTGTTTGAGGATGATACATTGGATGCGGAGGCTAGTGGGGTGGAAAGTGAGGACAAAGGGGACCCTATCTTTATTATGTTTGGAGGGGGGTGGTGGTTAAGAGCTGTGGAAGGGGGAATGAAGAAGGCACAAGTCCTGAAGAAGGGTAATACACAAAACATTGACTGCTCCTTTCCTCCAGATGCTGCCTGGCCTGCTGTGTTCTTGCAGCCTCCTGTTTATCTCCCTTGGATTCCAGCATCTGCAGATTTTTGTCTCTATCTAAAGTTATTTAAATGGATGTTGAGTTCTCGAGGCCACAGGGTCCCCAAGTGGAAAATGGATTTTTTCTTTGAGCTTGTGCTGAGGCACACTGGAACACGGCAGAAGTTTTAATACCTGCCCGTTTACCTCCTCCCTCCTCACCACTCCAGGCTCCAGACATATCTTCCAGGTGAACCAGTGATTCATCTGTATTTCACTCAATCCAGTCTAATGTATTCACTATTCATAATGCGGTCTCCTGTACATTGGAGAACCAAAGCGTAGACTGGATAACTGCTTTGCAGACCATCTACGCTCTGTCCGCAAACATCCCAAGCTTCCAGTTGCCTGCAACTTCAACACACCATTGTGTTCCCTGGCCAACATTTCTGAGGCAGATCTGCTGCAGTGTTCCAGACAGCATCAGCAAAAGCTCAAAGAACAACATCTCACTTTTGGACACTCTGCAGCTTCTAGGACTCAACATAGGGTTCAATAACTTTAGAGCCAGATTCCATCCTTCCACACTCAGTCCTGTTATGACATTGGTTGCTTTAGCACAGTCACCCATTCCCACAGAGTCCTAGGATCTATTATCACATATGGGCTTTGTACACTTTGTACACTTTTCACTGTACTCCTGTACTTTTGTACTTGAGTACACATGACAATTAAATCAAATCAACTTTCTTCCCTCATATGCACCAGATCTGTTGAGTTTCTTCAGCAATTTCTGTTTTTATGAGAGAGTTTTAAACATTGATGATCTGAAAGAAGGACTTCCTCCTCATCTACATCCGAAATGAGAGACCTGCTACTTAAAGAGTGTCACCTAGTTATAGATTACCAATGAGGGAAAAAAACCTTTCAGCATTTATCCTGTTAAGCTCGCTTAGAATATTACATCTCTCAAGATTATCTCTCATTCTTCTAAATTCAAAAGCTGAACCTCCTCAACGTTTCTTCATATTAGCAACAAACAGATGCTAGGAATTCCGTGGTAAGAAACTCACCACCTATATCTGGTGTCTAGCTATGAGGCGTAAGTCAGGAGTGAGATTAAATACTCTATTTAGCTGAATGAGTGCACCTCCAACAACATTCAAGAAGCTTGA